TAGTACCATATCAATACATATTAATATCAATAAATATTGACATTATAGCATTAATAAATATCGATATTTTCCATTTTAACCTGCTTCCGGCAAAATATATCCTGACATAAAAATGGTCACTCGTCTTCAGCAAACCTTTTATCGATCCAAACAACCCAATTATCAGAGCCCGATATTAAAGAAATTAGAGATTCGAGAGAAAAATACAAAATGCATCGAAGAGAATGGCAGAAAAATTTCATATTGGTGCCTGTCGTGTATACGGCATACTGAACGTTTTCAACAAGCTTTCCAGCTGATAAATCACAAACTGAAGAAGCTTCAATTATAGAAGCACCGAGAAAAAAAAGAAGTTCCAAATCCAGATCTAAATCTGTTCGAGTATCGGATCAATACCTAATAGTAACCAGATATTAGTTAACACCAATAACTCTAATGGGATAGCATCCTCACTTAGTGAGACGGAAAAAATAAATAGTGAACTTTATATGAGCGAGAATCCAAAGAGATGAGAAAATTAAAATGAGTCTAAAACGCTTATTAGCTACTTTATTTGTCATTAGACATGGTCCGCAGACTGTTCTATAGAGTAGATTTTCACAAAGATTGTTAATCTCAGTTTTGAATTTGAGAACATCATATAGTGTTTTTTCTAACTTCTCATAACTCGTGCGTTTTTTTAGGCACAGAAGCAAATGATGTACTCATGTTAAATTATGAGTTCGTTGCTAGCTCAGGAATTTAATGAAGATTTCAAGAAATCAAGAGTACACAAGAAGCCATCAAGCGTTTCTTACGTTAACGGTCTATATGTAATAGACTTGAAAATGCTTCGTTATTTCTTAACGACAAAAAAAAGCAAACTTATGTAATTAATTAATAACATGTGCATAGGCCCGTCAAATTTTGCATATGATAGAAAACTCATTGTATTGGTCAGAATCTGCGCAAAAAATAATTCGTAAATGAGACTCGATTAATATGGTTTTTTGTAATATCAACATACCGAGATATCAATTTAATTGGCATACAGTGAACTGGTTGTTTTTCTTAGTGTCTAGTCTTTATTTCAATAATGTCCGCACCACGCTCGCATACATTTAAAACCTTATTTGTTAATTCATATACTGTAAAAAAGATTGCCTATCATAGAAAAGTAAACATAGATGCAGGGGGTAGGCTTATGATCGAAAAATGACTTAAGCTTATTTGTCAATAACATAAAATTTTATAAACATAAACTTATTCGCAGATTAATACGCAAGACTTTGGAATAGTCGTCTCACTTTATAAAGTTCCTCTTCGAACATTGACGCATGTATAGGGTGGTAGTCATTATCGATTAGCGAAAGGTGAAAGTCAATTACAAAAATACGCTCCCCCGTTGGGCTAAACTCATCTATTCCAACAAGTATGTTATCCGGGCGAATATCGTTGTGGAGCACCCCAAGACGATGAATGGCACTGACAGCTCGTATCGCATCTTCTTCGTGTCGACGTTGAAGGGAACATGCGCGCTTGATGTAATTGGTGCACACAACATACATTTCTCCGTCCAGTGAATATCCGTGATGAACAAGTGAAGGGATATACACGCCTATAATGAACAATCAAAATTACTTTGAGTGAGCTGCGTGTTGCAAAAAGACATCGAACAATTAATGTGTATAGAATATTTACCTTGTAGATTCTGAAGTTTTTGATATACGTGCACCTCATGTCTAAGATAATCTGTTCGTAACATGTCGCCCGTTGGATGGTATTTTAGAGCAATCTCCCTGCCGCGATAAAACACTCTGTAAATAATGCCATTTGCTCCTCGACCCGCTTCTTGTTTGTGCCACAGCATTTCTTTCCAGATGACGGCGTCTTTTGTTGAACTGGCAATCGGACCTATTTCTGTATCAACTTCTTCAAGAGATGCAGTCGATTCGCAACTGACCGTATCTTCTTCTATTGGCATTGGAACAGACACAGGGAAGTCTTCACTATAATATCGATATAATATTATCCAATATTACTATTAATATATATTAATACTCGAGATTTTAATGATCACGTGCTCTTTATTCTCACCTGCTTTCAGGGGTAATCATGGACGGTAGGCATACGTTATCGGTGCTCGCCAGTTGGAAAATGTAATACAACGCTTGAATTAACGTGGGCATGCGACTGTTGCGCATTTGCACGTCTGAAACCAGGAGATGCGATGGATCAGATTCGGAACGTTTCAAAAACCAAGTTCTTTCGTACGTAGTGAGAACACCATATCGAAGTTCTTTTTCGACCATGTAATCGTAAACGAGATCGATGTGTGTTTTGAAATCGCCAATATTTTTTTGATACTCATGAATGATGTTGGACCCGAGTTTGCATTGCGTACTGAGCTGAATTTCCGTTCTCAGCGCAACGAACGTAATCAATTCCATAGTAGTTTTCGAGTGCAATTGCCAATCAACCGGACTGATGGCCGCAGGATCAATAGATTTCATTTGATATATCCGTGAGGTGTATCGAAATTCAGGAAGATGGGCCAAAATGTTCATAACAATGTAATCCATTGCTTCTACTAGATCTTCTTTGGCGGTAACACAAATGCGTGGAGGAACTGCAGGCAACCTAAAGTCATAATTGGGGATTACGGTTGTGTGCTTTGCGTCTTGCATGAACGAAGACCATTTGGACACGGTTGATGGCGATCGGATCCTTCCGTAATTATAGGATTCATAGACATAGTGTGGGTCATAGCTCGTTGGCGGTAGAGCAATCTGATGGACACAATTTGCATCATAAAAAGAGCGTTGAGATGTCTGCATAGTGTTAAACGTTTCGCTGTCGAGTGAATTCGAAATTGAGTTTGATGTTCCAACCATGAGCAGAAACTCTTTTTTCCCGAAGATGTAGCTTTACTCTGGAAAGTGCGGTCATTTTAAAGAATTTTGAGACGCTATTGATGTATGTTTTTGTTCCCATCTCATGTAAACTTTTTGGACATAACGACTAAAAATTTTTAATAGTTTAAATTCAAATTCCATATTGAGCAGTCAGTGGCAAGTCCAAATTTGGCTACCGTTTGTGCAAACACAAACAATGGCATTACGATATAGGAAACAGTGAGATCGATCGTCCACATGGCTATCAATTGACAAACGAGAGTTTGTTGTTTTTTTCCGATGTATAATGTCGTTAAAAACTTGTGCATCAATCAATTCTCTTTTAATTTTTTTGAAGGTAATAAGCAAAAAGGCATTTAGTCTCACGAAACAAAAAGAAAAAGTTGCAACCGATACTTTTGTTTGTGATAGCAGAGCCTGCGATCGGCATCATCAAGATTAAAAGTGTTTGTAAGACAAGTTCGTGAATGGTAAAATTAAAAAATGCAGTTATTCCATTAAGGCAAAAGTGGTGTATTGAACAACGTAAGCCACAAAACAAACAAGGAACAATGGCTCCAGCGTAACCGTTTAGGCTATATTAAACCCTCTTTCATTTCCAAAATAGCGATGTATGACATATGCATTATTTATTACTTGATATGAATTGAATTTACCCATTAAAACTCTTACTACGTCCACTCAAGTGGTTTCTGGGCTTGTCATGTAAAATGAATGTACGGTCTTTAAAATTGGGACGTAAACAAGAGTGCACCGGTTGTCTGGATACGACCAAAAAAGAGGTCTTTGTCACGGAACATTAACACGGATATTTCCTACCCACTCATGTCTTGTTACCCTTATTTTGGTATGTTCACTCAACCGTTTTCCGGAGTTGAAATAGTGGAATGAATGCCATCGAAAACAATCTGCGATAAACTTTTTGCCCCAAAAAGTGCAGAACGTCGGTTGTGCAGTACTTTGTTTGCTATCACCGACCATTAACACCTCTACCCGTCCCCGACTTTACCTAATTGAATTGACTTTGAATGAAAGCATGTTATTAGCGGTAAATGCGCCCAGTAAACCGGTTCATATCCAAAGAAGGGGAATATGGGCAACTTACCCACTAATGACTACTTTCGCTAAACCCTTGCTTTGGTGGGCGTTCTTTTCTGGTCCTAATCCCAGTTTCGTATTTTGTTTTACAACCAGTAATGACTTGAATGGCTTTCTCAAAGCCGAGTCAATGTCCTGCAGTACAATTTTCTCAATGTTATTCTTATCGATTGTTTATACTACAAAACGCAACAATGGATAAAGCGTAGGACATCTTGAATTGCACTACATATTTTACTCTTTTTGAAGTTTCATATTTCTGAAATAAGCAATCTTACATTACCACCGAATGTATTGATACTGTATTATTATTGTTTCACTTTACTTTCGCTATCGTGTTAGCCGAAGACTGTTAAATCCGCCAATTTGTAGCTAGCTATCGTTTAGCATTTATTATTAGGGAACTTTTTAAATAATTGTAAAATTTGATACTAACTTTGTGAACGTACTGTCGACTTGAGGGTAAGTTGCGATAGAGAGCGTTGTAGACTAATTCAAGTAAAGAGAAAATGGTTTAGAGTGAAATCAAAAACCTGAGAAAGACTGTCCCACTATTACATAAACGTAATTTAACATGGATTATGTATTTGTCAACAGGAAGACACTCGCCCGATTAAAAAATGTTAACAGAATTTTTATTTCTGCGCATGAAATTTTTATCACCGACAGGCAAGACATCAACCCCACGGAATAGCATTCCTATTATACGTAGCTGCAGAAAGATAATCGTAAGTCGCACGCATGCTTTTGTACATAATCTCAAACAGCTAGCTCGGTACTTGAAATAGTTCTCAGCAACAGCAGCGTATCCAATATAAATCACAGTGTTTTTTCATTAGCGCGGGTTTTCATCCAGGATATTCCTCCATCTACGGCCAATTACAGGCGTTTTATCCGGCTTGCAGATTGCTTCGTAGGGCTTTTGAAGAACAACCAAATTTATTGCAACGACCTTTAAATATGGAATCATCCCACTCCGAGCGATCGTTTATTCTTCTTGAACAGCTTTGGTGTTGGGGAAGTTTCATTACAATAAGAGCAGGATTAGCCCTATATCGTTTGGTCTATCAAAAAGCACGACACTGCCGACAGTCTCGCATTTATGCGGCGACATATAATAAGTCAAAGATTCTTGGGTTTAGCGGGTGGAGTTATAAGATGCCTTTCCTTGTTTAGTTTCTCAACCTCACAATCGCTCTCTTTCTGATCAACGAAACTAATAAACCCAGACTATTGTCAGGTGCATCGTTAAACGGCACGAATTGTATCATCAGGCGCTTGATGGCTTACACGTTCGAAGAGACAGCCTGCGAAATGTCTGACTTTAAGGCGACCGTTTTAGATCCTCCTAGTTTATTAGCTCCAACCTGACAACCAGATCACAACGAACGCTGTAGCAATTGAAATATCTGGTTTAAAGATCGAACCATTGCATTATAGATTAATATGCTGGACTTGAACACTTCCAGAGTACTTTTCACGTTACGGTAACATCTTTGATAGATTTGATACTGTCTTGCTTCCAGAGTACATTATGCGTCCTCCCAATTCACAATGCAGGTTGCTCACATTTTCTGACGGACGGTCGGCGCAAGATGCTTTTGCTTTCTGGAAGAGATTTGGCTTTTCAGAATGCTGATGTGTGTCCGTCCGGCCTTGGTAGAACGGCAACAGAATATAAACGCCGAATGATGGCATGAATATGTCAAGGCCATAATCGTTATGACGTACGGTTCCACCAACACGCTTCAGGCCTCTCGCCATAATCGGAAGTTGATTAAGCAAACGCAACGACCAAAATGCCGCTTGTTATATTCCTCCAGAATCTCTGATATGCCTTTGTCACTGCGGTCGATCGGTATCCATCCTCTAGTTCTATAGCTTTTGATGACCGGATGTGCACACCATGCGAATTTGTGTCATTTCAGCAAAGTCTACTCAGTAACCCTAAAGGAAAATACAGAAGGGAGTACAGTTTCGGACGAGCTTGTATCTTAGATATTACCCATGTTCAACAGCAAACTCTGATCGACAAACCTTCCCCGTCGGACAGCACACAATCGGTAATATCGTTGCTTCTCTTCTTTCAAATTAGATGATGATTTCAATCTTCGCCAAGATTGGTACGATTACTCCTCTCATTATATTTTCCTCGATAGGAGATTAGTGTCAATAGTTCTGTGAATGCTGTGACACACGTCATATTTGCGGAAAGATATGAAGTTAATTGCTTTTAATATTTAACCGTCTTAATCTGGCTCATTTAGCACGTGAATATCTAGTATCGATTATTGCATGTGATTTTGACTCAGTGCTTTCCAGGCTGTTCGTGCAAAAAACGTCAAAAGTTGTTATCCGCTCTTTCATAACTTTACCGATGTGAGAAATTTTCGGTGACACCAAAGGTTTTCATTTCGTCGATGACGCAAAATAAGAATCAAAAGTCACTGAGAGTATTCAGAATATTCTAGAATGACGAAACTTCTAGTCGCGCTACCAAGGCGTGAGAAACAGGCTGGAATCGACCAAGTGTGTTTTGGATTAAAGTTGTGAGGTGAGGCCTTAACGAACTTTACTTTGAATAATCGACCGTAGAAGTCTAAACAGAGTAGCCAAAGTCCAAATGATCGAAGGTGTTACAATACCTTGTACGCACATAACAACTGAAATGGTAAGTAGGCGAATTCTCACCAAAAAACCTGAAATCTTGCAGGAGACTCTGAGAATGTTCTTAATGAAGAATGCGAAATCCCCCCCGAAAATGTCACAGAGATAATCAACAGAATTCTTGAATTGTATCAAGAATTGGTAAGCAGTGTAATGAAAAAGCAGGACATGACAAGGTTTGCGCTCAACAAATTTAGTTTGTCGCGTAATGCAGGTGTTGATCATCATCATTTTAGGATGTGGGAATATCTAATTTTCCCGATTCTAGATTTGATTCTAGTGCTTTTGTAGGATATTGTGAAATGAAAATTCACCAAACGAGGAAAGACTGCAGATGCGATGTTCCTTAGCAGGCGATTAAAATGACAATAGGCAAAGAGGGGAAACGTTGCTTGAGTAACATCAAACTTCATGAGAGAGGTACACCCAATTCTTTTTACGTGCGTATTATTTACCGGACTTGTCGATCGTCACGAGAGACAGCATAACTCTTCGAAGCTTATTCTCTACCAGACATACGGTTCAATCTTATGACATGGATAGAGAAGCGCTCTTACATGAGTAATGGTATTATCAACTCTGATAGAGTGCGACTTTATTGTCAAACTACACCAAGACTAGATAGTATTATCCATTTCGGAACATTCCCCCCTCAATTTTTGAAGGTCCTTAGAAGAACTTTATCGTATGTTTGGCTGTTGGAATTAAGTTCTTATTGATGTTCACATTTAGCTTACTATCTGCAAGCATAAATCTTGATCCATTGCCGAAAGAACATCAAACCCACACATTCTTTTCCAAATGTGACATTTGAGGCGATGGGTAAGCTTTCCCTATAGACTAGTCCCAAAGACTTGGAGTTGATTGCATTTTACGTCCGAATGCAGATACAAGCATCTATCTTTGACGGAACTTTTGGTTTTCCCGCCTCTGGATTCGCTAGCAAACATTTCCTAAATTTCGTTCGGCGAGTCCTCTCGCATATCAAGGTAATTTTTTTTTTTTCGACAAAAGAAAATGGAATGTATCTACACACACACCACACATATTCTTGATCACAAATTTTCAGGTGATCGAATACGAGTGCGTGCATGGCAGATTACAAAGCAAATCAGGTTTCAAACATCTGCTATCTCGAAATTAGAATGTGTGACCTCATCGATGGAATGCAAAGAGTGAAGTGGAGATGGGAGAGGAAGCGTTTGAGTGAGGTCCGGCTTGGCCTGGCTCGGCTTGACTGACTCATACAAACTGCGGAACAAGAAATGAAAATAAGGATGATCTCCTCTGTTGAACAGTATGAGGCAACCTTATAATGTAAACTTGTTAACTAAATAGGAGATGGGTTTACGGCCGAATGAGATGATTGGTTATTTGACCATGTTTGGTGTTGAATGAAGGGATAAGTGTTATTATCGATTAATTATAATTGTTGACTAATAACAAAAATACCTCTGTTCAGGTTAGTATGTATTAGCACTAAGGATTATAACAACAATTATCTTCGGCATATATGAACGCAATATAAATAATCTCATTATACAATCATATGCAACATATATTGTAATAGTTTCATCTCCATTTGGAACAAGATCTCCACTTTACTCTATCAGACAAGTATATCACATATTTATCTAACAGCATTAAATGTATACCCGTTTCTCACTATTTTTGTTGTTGTGCCTTCGTCAGCCACATTATATATTCTGTTGTATGATGCTTGTCATCACTGCAGATACTGCGAGTCTCTTGTTATACAAAAGCTAATGTACTATTTTAATGTGCGGCAAAAGCATGGAAGTCATGTGATTGGCTAATTTGTGATTATTGTTCACGGTCTTTATCGATATTATTACTTTTTAGCATATATATTGAGAGGGGTCCAAGTTTCAATTTCTAGAGACGGAAAAGATGTTCATTCTCTTTCATTCTCTCTCTGTTCTATTACTAGACTGTTCTTTGTACTACCGGAAAGGGACGGGAAATTTTTAAAAAAAGTTGTATAATGTATATAGTGTATATATTGATTATAATTACTGGGCAGAAACAGGTTTCCTGTGACAATTCGGAATTGTCACCTATTTCCACTTAACCAAATCTGTACACATCACAAGCAAATTCAAGTCGAAATAAATGAAATAAATGGCGTCCCATAAACTTTCACATCCCGCTCATGCATAGTCACCGCATTTTTATTGCTCCTTGCTCTGCCTCCGTCTCTCTTCTTACTTTTTATCATAAAATAACATCCTAACACACAGACAACGTGCAGGCAAAATATTGCTGCTCATATCATCACCATTTAATATACATTAAGAATATTAAATAGACACTCGAGGTAGGTTCAGTACTATGTACACAACATAGCAAACACCAACGGTATTATCGTTTATATTACAATAATATCCCCACTACCTACACACCTCTGCTTTGTTAATTCAACAACCAATCCGTCTCGCACGGTCTAGCACCGAGTATAACGACTTTCTAAATATTTCCTATACTTTAATCCCCATCCCATGCTTAATTCTTAATTCTTTCGCATTTAGCATTAGATCTGCTTCCATTAGTAGAGGTTATATGTAAAGCATATTAATAGTATACATAGCTCAGTGTTCGAGCTATAAAACGAAAAACCCCTCTCCAAGCACTTAATATCGCTAACGGCGCTACTTTTGTTTTTTCCAAAATTGCAGCAGGCCTGCACACAGTCATACTCACAAATCTCCAATACACATTCCCTCAACCTCAAAATACTCTTTCTATCCACATCAACACTGGCAGTAATACGACTGACGATTACGACGGAGATATCACAGAGTAAGACGACACGATCTTTTTCTTCTTAGCGGGACATATCGAATAGCTATCTATTCGAATATTCGAACAATATTAGTATTGCTACCATTATCACAAAGGACATTTAACAAGTTAATCGACGTAAGCGTACGAATTCGACCGAGTTAGAATAGTAATGGCGGTCAGGCAGCAAAGCATACCGGCTGCATTTGAAATACGCTTCACAGACGCTGTAAGTATAATATCACGATGCATTTGTAGAGTACAGATTAATCAATATACAAAAAAATATGAAAAGTTGAACGATTATTCAGTAGAAGATGGTGGCTAAAAACATTAATATAGCGTCAGACCTTTTGTCTTAGTCTCGTTTTCCCTGGCATAAAAAGATCAGTCGACATATTATATTTACAACTCTTCCTTTACATTATATTCTTTCGTAATAGTCAGTAGAGGTACACGAAATAGGGAATGATGCAATCCCAGAACCATTCAAGAAACGTGATAAAATACCGCGTAATTCGGGATCTTTTGTTTCACCCGAGAGACTATCGGGTGCGGATGCGCAGTCTCAGCCAACAGTTCAAAAGTGGACTAAACATCATTTTGGTGAGAATCCCATAAACGCTCCTCAGAAAAACGGCATTTTCCCTGGACAAAAAGGACGACAAAACGTTATAAACAGAAAGCTTAGTGAGAACAATTCTGTTGATGAGAATACAATGATGACAGACGTTCAGAAAGAAAAGGCATCAAACATTTCAAACTCGAATCGCTTGTCACGTTCTAAGCGCACGCATTCATCTAGCGAGTCACTTTCCGACCATCAGGTGGTTCCGAATAACAAAGTACCAAAGCATAAGAGCAACACGTCTGCAAAAACCATATCAAAAACACAACCTTTATCGTCACCGCGAAGATATTCATCAGATTCAAAACTCCGACCAAATTCTGGACTTTCAACACCTCCAACGACACCCCCTCCAACACCTCTCAATAACGCTACTGTGCCTGATAACCGCACATCCATCGACACTAGTGCACCAAGTACACCGTCATCCTTTACGACAACAAAAAGCAAACCGCAGCTCAAACTTTCTTCCTCTCCACCCATAATCACACCATTCTCGGCCGACTTTTCGGAAACACCCATCGAGGAATATCCACCGTCGACAACTCCTACGATTCCCCATGATGAAGTCATAATACCGACAGTTGCGAAGAAGCTCCGCAAGGCACGTCAATTCAGCGAAAACGGATACACAGACATTACGGATCAAGTGGAAAACCTCTTTAGTAACCCATCTTCCCCCCCCGGCCGAATGCACGCCGCCAAGGATCCACTCCGACAACACGAAAACGGCCGAATAGCAGATACAGGTCTGGATCCGGTCGACAAAGTTCGTACGAGATTACAACCAATATCACGGATATACACCGAGTTTCTAGGAACACGTACAATGATTACGAGCGTGACCAAGAGCATGAGAAGGCACAGGATAATGTAAGTTTTACCATGTATAAACCAGTCGATAATGAAAATGTAGTAGATGAAAGCGATAGTGAAGCCAATAGGCTTCGAAAGGGGCGAAGGGCTAGGAGGGAAGAATGGGTTATGGTTGTCAGGGATGAAGATGAAGAGAGTACTGAGCAAACAAGTCAAACGGATATGGTGGGTTGCTGGATTTTGGTATTACAGTTCATTATTTTCGTTTTCTACTATATATATTACTTTCATTGGGATGCTAGAAGCCCAATGGGTAAGTTTTAATATGCTAAGGATTTCTAATTGTGCCTTCACACGTAACAATTCTTTTTTCTTGTTTTCGTTAGTATGATACTCCAGCATCAACCAAGTCACCTGGAACAGGCTCGTCAAATTATAATGAGAAGGATGTGAATGCTGATATGGTACATATATGTTTTCCTATCTTACTGTTCGTAGAGAACTGTGTTTATGGGTTGCACTAACAATAATCCCATCCATTTTTTGTCCTGCAATAGGGATCACGGACAAACGCATATCCGTTTTCGCAACAAGGAAACCCCAAGATTGTCATACACCCTGATAACGCCAATCAACGCCCATATACGCTCGAATTGGAGAAAACACTTACTCAAGCTTCGATCGGAGACAAAAAAGGCAAAAAAGATAAGAAGAAGAATAAGAAGAATAAAAAGGGCGACGGGGTTACTGATGAGAACGAAGACGAACTTGTCAAACAGTCCAAGTGTTGCTGTATTATTTGCTGATTATGTATATGTTTCTTTTGGGGGATTTTGTGTTTTAGGGAATATTGGGGTTTATTGGGAGATCAGATTCATCATATACTGGTACTATGCGAGAAAGTGTATTTTTTATCGGTAGAATAGTGTGAAATATTGGGTACGGACAATTTTGTTTATTTTCTCATGTATAACATTGTAGTTTGGGTGAAGTCTGCTGTCAATTTCTTACACGAACATCTTTTTAACTTTCCCAACCCCTCAGGAAGGGAATGGACTTTGTGTCCGAACGAACATTGTTCTCCTCTTTTTTATTTTTTTTTGTTTGTTTTTTTTTATTGTTATTTGTTATTCTGAAAAGACATTTGTAGGATAGAACAATTCAATTCTGTTGAAGAATCATTCTTGAATCCTCATCCTCACATTTCTGGTTATTTTTCTATTTTTTGACTAGAAATTAGATGGCAATGAATTCTACCGAAAAAATAACCCCATTCTACTACAAGTTTGTATTTCTAGCTTTATAACTAGAAATTTAACAAGAAAACGACACGCTGATATGTTTTTTGATACTACATAACAACTATTTAAAGTCACGGCTGCTTATTGAATGAGAAAACACACAAAAAGAGTTTGCATCGAATGGCGATAGAAAAACCAACCACTAGAAAGTTATGATTGTTTATATACTACACGGATGTTGAACGTGCAATTAACATGTCTGAATAGCGTTGGAGGAAATTTTGAATATTGGGCTGCTGTTGTTACGTTCGGGACTAACTTGTCTCCGTTCAAAGTGTCCGTAATGGTATAATTTAAAATCATTATGTTCACTAAAAAGTCGCGTTTCTGGAAAAATCACCGATAAAGTTATCTCTGACATGCGATGATGACATTTGGTGTGAGCGAAAAAAAAAAAACTTTCTTTTGACATTTAGGGTCTTCGACTTTTTTGTTAACCTTCTTTGGTTGGACCCGTATCGGAAAGACATTTGTGGCCGTTGATTGAACGCCCAATTAAACTTAATTTCGTGATCAATATTAATATTCGAGTCGATCACTTTTAAATTTAGTTTAGTCGTCCCCCGTACAGGGGCTCCAAAATGTTGTCGATCACCCGAATTACTGAACGTCTATCATAATCATATCATACAACTTCCTGCTCTTTAATCTGATGTGCAAGTTGAAATATGTTACCCCCGGTAATAATACTTCTGTTCAATGCTAACTTTAAGTATTAGTGTTCTGTTCAACGACCTAACAGTGTTGCTATCTTTTTGCAACGGATCCCTTACACGTCGGGTTATAATAAGGTTATGAACAGTGTATATTAACATTAATATAAATTCAACTTTTGCTCACATTCTTGTTGATATTGGGTCAATCAATATAAATAACCACCTTCACCTGGCAATTATTTATCAATTTCTGACACATTTTACACATCATGTCATGAACGTCCATATGGATAGTACTGCTTCATCTCTGGCAATCCTTTTGCCAAATACTTAATACTGTCCGACCACTTGTATCAAGAACACAAGTCGCAGTAATAGGAATTCACTCTTTATATTGATTCATTCTCATGCATTTACCAAGTATTATACAGACATTAACAAAATTAATATATACTTCAAGGTTGATACAAAGTTATGAGAATTTAATGGGTTTCAGCTAGGTAATAATTACCCTTATTTATTAATTTATAAGATTATTCCAATGTTGAAGATAAAGCGTTTAAAACAACAAACAAGAGAATGCACGCCTTGACTAATTCATACTTTTATTATCATCACCAAATTGAGCAATATCAACTGATCGTATCGTCAGACAGCTTGAAGCTGTCTCCTAATTTTCAACTCTGAAGTTTTTTGTGTTTCCAGAATCAATTTTTTCCTCCATGAGATGCATTCTTCCCTTCATAGACTGGGTCGTGACAAGAGTCTTATTGGGAACTACTCGCGAGTCCCTTCATTTCAGCAAAAATTCCCATGACGACATTACAAATTTTCTCCACGGACGCACGGTCAGGATAGCCTTCCTTGTCAAAGCTAACGGAATCTTCTGCTTCTTTCACGGCTTCGTCCGTCAAACGAACGAATATCCAGTCTACAAAATTTGATACGATGCCATACACGATGGATTGCCTACCACCGTTCAACTAAAACAACGTCGATTAATGACACAAAAATGTCGAAAATACATGCCAACATGCAGCACACCTCGTAAGCCACTTCGCACGCGACGTAATTCTGAGCGCGCCCTTGGTCAAAATCGGATTTCTTTGCCTCGACGATGCAGATCACGAAATTTCCAATCCTGACAAGAAATTCCACGTTACCATTTGCTGGAACCTCCTTGCCAACTAACGAGCTCTCGATGTCTACGGCTATTTCATCGCTTACAAAAACTAGTCGAAACCGTTTCAATGAGCTAGAGCTAATTGACAGAAGACACATATATAATACCTACCAGCGCAACTAAAGATAACTGCTCCAATAAAATATCTTTTTTTTGCTTCCACTCCGGTGCTAGGTCGTCCCATCGCTTTACGGAAAAGCTAAAAAGCTGTCAGAACGCGTATCTTACAAAAATCAGTATATTACTCTTACTTTCAGATTGCACATGACTTCATCAAGCGTGTCAGATGGCACGTTTACTGTGGGCGGATCGAATATGCCGGCACCAAACCTAACCCAATATCAATAGAATAGATTTGTTACATGAATAAAAAGCTCCGTAGGAAAAAAATAGAACTAGAGTTTTTACCCAGATTTCACGCCGAATGCATCCGACACTATAGTCCAGTCGTATTCGGAAAACGCCAGTTTGCCATCCAACTTCTTTTTGTGGGTCGACACATAGTCTTGCAGGATCTCTAGCCGTCGCTTTCTTTGAACACTCTTGACGCTGTCTGTCGAGCTTCGACGCGATTCTAAATATAATCACATTAGGTAGTTAACGAGACAGTATGCAAAAGGGAAGTCGACGCAAGTGAAATTGAGAAGCGCCATAGTGGGGAAAAAAGCACGAATTAGTAGTCAATGTTACACTGATGTTCCTGTAACAAAACAGCACAATCTCTCGAAAGGTTAAAATAAAATGTTCCCAGATGGAGCAGATGGATACCTTCTCCTTTGGCCGACTCTTATATTTCGCAACAGTCAGGAAATCGCGAGAAATAATTAGTCATGATTGTCGATAGATAAAAATATTTGCTACGCTCTCCAAGGCTGACTCACGAAACCGTTACCTGTCATGTCCATGTCCAGGAGCTTCGCTACCAAAGTTTGCACTATCTTTCCCTCATTAATCACGGCACCCTTCAGACTGTCCTCCTTATCCACCAGCCGGTTCTTCTCTTTTCGCTCCGCTTCATCAAGTCCTGCATCCTCCAACTCTTTGTCATATAAGAAGTACAGTCGCCTTCCGCGGGGCCCAGTTCTGAACGTTTTCAATGCCTCGCTCATCTTATAGCCTCTCCTCCGCCTTTGTCAGCTCTTGTCTGATTTCTTTAGCACTTTCCATAGTTTTGTTGTTTTCGTTAGAAAGCTAATTAACACTGATCAGTGGCTTAGTCCATGAGCACCATTATTACTTTTCAAAACGTCATCAGTCATACTGGTCAATTTTACAGCCCCTCATTTATGGAATGTTCACTTTGGTTTTGTTGCAGCCATACGTCAAATTCGGAGGAGACTGATACACTACAAGGGGAGCCTGGAAGTGATGATTTCGCGACGGCCATAATCTGCGTAAATGATTGGATATACTTCATCGGAAACGATCGCTGCATACGAGAGAGAAACTCCTGTGGTCGACGTACCTCGGCTGCTATATCCTCACGAGCAGCCGGCCGAGCTGTAAAAGATCGTTTTATTATAAACAGTCATTGCTTTTTATTGATGATAAAATCAGAGACTCGGAATACATCACTTCATTAATTCTTTTGGGTCATTCTTTAATTATTTTGCTTTTTAAACAGATTTGGTAGCGTTGTTATGAGAGGACATAACGATAACGCTTTGCGAAAAGACGATCGAGGCAATCCAAGTTGGATCGACGAAGAAAACGAAAACGTAAACCACTCAGACGATGAAAATAAAGAAATAGATGATAGTGATAATGTTATTAATAGTAGCAATAATAAAAAAGATAATGAAATTTAAATTTGCATCAGAGTGACCAAAGAATAGGTTATACTCATCAATGACTTTGGGTCCGAGTATTTTCCTCCCATGCAATTACTCTGGTGCGTTTATTACTATTTATATTTTCAAAAGCGATATAATAAAAATATTAAAATTATGCTTACAAAATTGAAGTAGCGAAATATGATGTACGCGCACTCAAACAGTTCTTTATCAACAAGTCAAAAACTATAAGGAATGTTAAGCTGCTTTCCCTTACCTGTCTTCAAGTTTTCGCTTCTTTTTTGGTTCATCCTGTGTTGGTGTTGGTGTTAATGCTCGTTTAGTAGTTATGATTTTCCGTTCCTCTTGGTAAATTTCATAAGTAATTTTTCTTAATCTAGATATTGCTGGAGAGTTTGGGTATTATTGATTTTGAAAACATAAGGCGCAATTTTTTCACCTTGGGCTTTTTTGAGAATGCTTCTAATGGTGCTGTAATTCTTGGGTTCCATGGTCGATTTGATGTAAATTAGTTTCATACTAATATTTTTATATATAGAGGTAATCCTATATTACTCCTGTTAATGGTTTATATTCATCACATTCTGGTATGATAAAGTGAGCATTAAAATTAACAAGGCAAAGCATCATCAGTCACCCTGATCAATGTCACATAATAAAATGTTCACTTTATCTGGTTTTGTTGCAGTCTGCCCCATATTATATTAATATGGAATTTCACAACAGACTCCATATCCAGGGCATAAGAAAACAAGTGTGAACACATGCAAAATCTGCTCAACTCAAGCTAATACTAATGCAGCAACAAAAAAGCGTATCAACTGCTCAACAGGATATGACTTGCCATGAGCTATTATTATCTACTACTACTCCAAAATTCTGGTATCATTACTACTATTCAGATTAGCAATCAGTTAGACTTCCACTTGACTTGTAGAAAGAACAAGCCACAAAATTCTTGTCTACGAGAGGACCCGAGATTCTGACATGCGAATTTTTTCATGTCCTGAGAGTTGCCGTAAATATAATTGCTGGTTGGTTTTATTATAAACAGTCTATATAATTTATTAACCTTATACACAACTTATCATTACTTCTTCAGTGTTCTCTGCTTCTCAGCGTGTTCCACTATCTTCTTTTCAATAAACATGCCCTGAGGGTAATGCAATTTTGGATCACACGTTAATGTTTCCATCACAGACGAATACCATCCAAAACTAGCACGCGGAAAACATACCTTACGCTTTCTGACGCTCTCCATGTATTTTTTCGCCAAATTCTCTCGATCTGCCTTCTCTCCCAAGTCCTCTAACTCTTCTTCCGTAGTAGGAACCCAGAATGGATCTTCGTCCAACATCTCAAAACTATAAGACGAGTTATTAAATAGTATTCCTTTGAAATCAATGAACCTGTTAATTCATAGTTGCCAACTCACCCACTGAATATTAGCTGTGGACTAGCAACGCCCGAGGTCTTTGTTCTTATCTCTGTATGGAAATATGGGTAAGCAAGAGAACATTGCAATGTTATCATAACAAGTATTACTTATTCCACATTACCATCTGCAAATCCAAAACTCTCTACCACTGGCAAAAGAGCATGTATTGAAAAGAATGATGTCCCTTCTTTAAGCTCTTCAGAAACAATTTTGCCTTTTCGACGAGCAACTACTGCATATACCTTTCCAAGCACGTCAGCTAACGATGATTAAGAGAATAATGAACACACGACTCTTTTCTTGAAACTGTTTCTGCAGAAGAACAATTATCGAATCGACCATTTCGCATATATTAAAAGCTAGCCGCTTACTTGTTGCCTGTATGTCACATGAATACATGGCACGCATCAGCCTAGGAGACCATTCAAGAAAAGCCTGTCGACATGCATCTCTCATCGTCGTCATAATCTGTCCAGCTAGCTGCGACCTTACTATTAAATGAATCCAATCATGAGTTCACGTTACAGCGAGTAAAAATGAGCACCATTCAACATTCACTAAAATATACCATCTGCGTTGTTTTCATCGACATTTACTGTAAAATCGTCAACGAAATACACAACCCCCATCATTGGCTCTCCACACAACGGACCACTCTTGGTAGCCATTTGAAAGCCAGTATGGACGCTTTCGTCAAAAGATCTTAGACTCAATGTTGTATTCTGACTGTCATCTGCTACCGGGTTCTCGGTGTCCAAATCAGACTGCGGAAGCTGTGATGTTTCGAAAGCCGCTTGCACATTACGACGCCAGCTGGATTTCGATTGTCATAATAGTTATGGACAGGGTTCTCTGTCGAAAGGCAAACAAAACAAAAAACTCATTTTTCTTTAGAAAAGGATACGATCTTCTAGTATAATTTGATACTCGATTCACAAGTATGTTGGCACCAACACGCTTTGGTCCGAATGCCCAAATCCTAATGTACATACAATTCGATCGAATAATGATGACACATTTCAAATGGAAAAATATGATAACGTATGTAGTATATCATTATTCACCTGTCAACAATTCCTTTCCATAGGTCGCTATCCCCAGCCTTATCAAACTCTTTTTCCAATAGCTCGAAAAACTCGTCCGCATTTAACGATTTCTTACTCTTAACAGCAACTCCTTTCAAGGCCTCATCCATATCCTCATTGTCATTCTTCCCAGTTTTCTTACGCTGTTGTTCGTCTACCATGGATTTTATTGTAAGTACATGCTGGTCAAGAAATTCCATTATGTTTGTCGGTAATGGGACGGCACGTATCTTGAGCGTGCAGTGTTTGCTGGGAGTAGACATTGTAATCTGTCCTCGAGGAACCAAAGGATCTTTTAAAGGCGTTGAATCTGCAAACAATGCGATAGCAAAATGTGTATAAGCATATTGAACAAGAACATATTTATATGTCTGAACAATCCATATATACCTGCAACAGGCGCAATCGTCTCTCTAAATGGAACAATTGGTGACGATACTTGGATTTCTATCCTGGCAAATCGTTCTCGAAGATCCCTAAGACACCTCTTCAGAATAAATTATCAAGTCAGCCAGAATTAATACTGAACAAACATAGGCCCCCATAACAATATACCTCAAGGTGTACTTCGCCAGCGGCAAGGATGACATGCTCTCCAGTTTCTTGTATTAGTACTTCGACACATGAATCAGCTTGGTTTAGTAAATGTAGTCCTTCAATAAGCTGTGCCATCTCGGCTATTTCAATATAATAAATGATAAACAGCATTCGCTCAGTAAACGGCCAAGTAGTAAGTAAACAATACTATCTCACATACATGGATCGGCTGGCTCAAGTGCAACACGAACTATAGGTGCAGTCTGTTTTGATAACAATAAGCATTAGTCCCAAAAACGTATTCTACAATTCAAGTACGAAAAGTCGATTACGCACCTCCAAACCAGTCCCAACAAAATTATGACATTTTTTCGTGCTACTTATTGTTCCATTCTTCAACAAATGTCCTTCTAATCCACCAATGCCAAATACATTTCCAGCCGGAACTTCTTGCAAGTTTTCAAGCTCCCGACCCATCATCAGATACAAATTTTCCACGGTTATTTCAGAAGAATATCTGTCGGGATATGCAGGATCAAATTTTGGGCCAAGTACGTATAGTTTTTGACCTACACGTATCTTCCCCGAATACAATCTGGCAAATCCGATAAATGCCTCTTTCGGCGAGTCTTCTTTCGCATCTGTTTTGTCATTTTCCGTAACACCATCTGATTTCGTTTTCCGTTTAGTATCATTTTCTTCCGGCTTGGTTTTTAGTGCGACGTCATTATTTGTTACATTGTTGTCTCCTTCAGTAACAGAATTAGTCTCTGCTAATCTTTTCTGTTCTCTTCGTATTCTCGCATTCTCTCGCAATTCTTCGGCTGTAAACTGCCTCCGTCTATTCTCGGGCAAAAATCTCGATGGCACAGCAAACATTTTTGATACAAATGCAACGACTGGCGCGGAATCACCTGTATCGCACGAGTATAGTTTGCTTTCAAAATCATCTTTGGGCGTTTCGATTTTGTCACTGTGTGGGTATATCAATCGAGGCAGACGTATTGGTTGAGCTGCTTTTGGGGATGGGAGTTGTTCGACTACTGCGAGTATGAACGCAGAGTCAAGGAAATAGTCGGGTGCCAATAGAATGGAAGATTTGGAAATTAAAAACAATATCATGGAGAAGAAAAATAAGGATATGTAGTACTGCTGGGGACAGCGGAAGCCATTGGCCGAATATCGTTGTCAATAACGATCGCGTATCATTTGATCGCATATCTCGTGGTAAAACTTTTAGATTGAGCGCTTTTACTATTTTCTCAATCTTTTCGCGGTTGCTAAAATAGTAAGATTGATAAGTCAACGTATTATTAACACAATGCGTGAAATTTAATCCCATTACTTACTTGTTAAGTACTACTGCGTCGTAAACATTCCATATGTTTTCTAATACAAACTGCACAAACATGGGCTTCAATTGACGACCTCTCAAGTGTTTCTGTAACAAGATTCGTTTTGTCTTTGGTTCAAGATAATAATCACCCCAAAGCACTTTACGGAGCAGGTTCTCCTTGACATTTAGCTTGGCAGCATAGATTCGGGCAAATTGTTCTACTCTTTGGTATATGTTGGGTCAATATCATAGGTAAAACTTTTATGCACGTATCAATTGATTGTACATTACCTGAATGCCCAGCCATCAATGGCACTGCAGAATACAACATTTCCTGTATCGGGAGCAAAATATATATTCGAATCATCTCGTTCTTCAAATAAATCTTCTGGAGCGTCTCGATGAGATTTGTTGTCAACCTTGTCCTCAGCCTAATAAAAACATAAAAATTCGTTTCAAGATGTCAAGGCTAGTGATCATAGAGATCAGCATCACACTTTGCATAACGAAGTCAACGCACCTGTGCAGCTTCGTGCCGTCTGCCTTCTTCCTCAAGCATAGCTCCGGCATAAAAAGTTCCCACAATTACATTTACTTGTTCGAGTATTTTTATCAGATGAATATGAGCTTCCATTGGTGTAAGTTTTAATTCTGTAATCAAGCGATCAATTTTGTTGAGGACCAAGACTGGCCGAACATTCTCTATTAATGCTTGTCGGAGGACCGTATGTGTCTTAATGGGGTCAATTCAATTAAAAGTGTAGAAAAAGTTTTGGAATAAGGGACGTGTTATCATATAAATTTCGTCATAATAATTGCCATCAGAGCGCAAGTTAGACGCGTATGTCATGCTTTATGATGGAGTAACGCACACATGCACACTCTTTCTCTCTAACGCTCTCCCGTTAACCACACCTGCGTACAAACGCCCTCAACCACATCAACTAGTATCAGGGCACCATCACACAGTCTTGAAGCTGTAGACACCTCGCTGGAAAAATCAACGTGTCCGGGGGAATCAATAAGATTTATGAGATATTCATCAGAACGTTCTTTAAGATCGAAAGTTTTATTTTAATTTTAAGGAAAATAAACATGTAAATACAGATGGACGAGTAGAAAGAAATATATAACAAGAATTGAGTAGATTATGATCAAAAGCAAATCTATGGGTTAAAATTGTGATTGGAACATTGTAAAAAGACAAAAACTGATCTTACCTTCGGCGCCAATTCGTAAAACTTTAAAGTAGAGTGATATTCCGCTCGCTTCCATGGTTATCCCTCGTTCTTGCTCGTCTTCTCGGCTATCGAGATAGCGTACTCTGCCAGCAAGTTTAGAGGAAATAATACCATTCGATGCGAGTAAGGAATCCGATAATGTGGTTTTGCCGTGATCCACATGTGCTAATATGCAAATGTTTCGGATATTGTCCGTTTGAGACTGCAGCTTGACGAGTTGGCTAATTGATACAGGCATGATTAAATGAAAAAAGATCGAAAGAAGGTAACTGCGGTAGAAGAAAATATTTATGGCGTTGCACAAAAGTGTGGTTATAATATATATATCTGCGCAATGACGTAATAAAATCATACTGGAGATTAAATTCACATTACAGTATCGTAATAGTAACATGAAGACTACTATCAAGAGCTTCCAAACCATGCGCTTAAACGGTTTTCCCTTTCCTTCCATGCAATGCGCTTGTTTTGCCCTTGTTTTATACCCTTGATTTTTGAACTTTCGATTCTTTTAGTTTCACAAAAGCTTAGTATAACATGCATGCTACGATACAGTCATACTCTCTAGAAATTAGCGACTGTTATGCTCTCTCTCCTTTAATCTCAAAATGGTTATGCATTGGTCTATACTATTGGAAGTATATACGTTGGAAAACCTATTTTTCTTTATAATCATAAATTCTTATAACCAACAGATTTCGTGACGCACTAGTACTACTTTAAATACCACTGTGAAATTCCTTATTTTTTATGTCAATTGATTATATAAAAATACTATTTTGGCTTGGCACATGCGCAAGCGAGTTCCAACTGCGCCACAAATAACTGTTCCGCACAGAATATATTTCAGTCATCACTTCTTTTTGCAACTCTAACTTTGAATACTTTCTATTATTATGCCAGTCTCAGGCCAACAGTTTAAATTTTATTAAAAGTTACTACTACGATGTCAACTTTATCTTTACAAGTTAAATTATGCAAATTTTAAGCAAATAAGTGAATGCGCAATAAAAAGCTATACGCTGAAAATTTTATTCGTACGGGGGTGGATTTACCTCATACGTCCGGTTTCATTTACTGCATGCACAGATTACGACTGCGCTTATCAGGAATATTACAGAAAAATGCGCGCAATTATCTATTAAATCTGCAAATTTTGTTGTTGTTTTTTGGTATAAAATGCCTTGAAAAGTAACAAAATAAAGACCAACACATATACAAACAGTATCTGAACAAGTTTCTTGGTAAGAAAGCAATAATAACAACCGCCTCGTTGCTATTTTCGTGAAAAAAAAAAGCTTCTGCTGCGTATTTCTTGTTAGCTATAATTGGTAATTTCGCTAATTAGTTCCAAAGGTATTAAATATAACCGGACAAAAGATTCTTTTCTAGAATGATGTTGTGCCACAACATTTTTCGCATTCATGGGAGATGTTTGATTACTTGCTTGTAAGAGTTTAGCAGATAGCATTGCGTTTGTTAGTGATGAATTTACTGACAAAGAGAAAAAGCGAATTTGTTTCGTTGAACGAAAATGAAACATTGTTATTATGTATGGCACCAATAAACGTCATGCCAAAAACTTGGAAATGGCCAAAGCCGAAAATCCTTGTACACAAATGTATCGAAAAGGTTAGACTTATGTAAATCCTATGTAAACCGAGTTACAAGCTTGCAAACATTATATGAATGTCAACGTAAACAGTATCAGATACTGCATGTAGTGAGGATAGCGTTAACACCAACATTAACGCTAATTTAAAGGTTAATAGAATTGTTGTCTATATGAGGTAATCATCGTGACTATGATCGATTCCCATAGGCGATGGTTTTATCCCGTAATTAGCGAAATTTACTGGTTTCTGTAATCTTGTTTTCTGATTGAGGTAAAATTTCATATCCTACTTTCCACAGTCATTGTCTCGGGCTATCAAAATAACAGATAAAAATAACAAATATTACACGGCGTAAAATATCCATATCAGTAACATTCTGCATAACAATAAGCCCAATCATGCTTGTAATACCCGGTCTAATCAGGTAAATCGCCAAATTGTCCTACAGTATCAGCAATCTCCAGATACCCTTAAATACTCGTCAATTTGTAGCTACTGGCACAATCACTGTCCTTTCCAATTATCCTTTCTACACGATCACTTTCTTTATAACGACAGCTGGGTTGAAGGAATAATATCTCCTAGTAAAGAAAAAATCCCTCCCCCCAAACCCGCTTTCATTAATTTATAACCCGAATTTCCATCCCTTTTTGGCAAAATACCTCGCCATCATACACTTTCGAATCATTTATTATTCCTTCGCATACTGTCAATAATCAGTCCTATTCCTCTTACTCTCTTTCATATTAACTTGCCACTCCAATCGAAAATGAAGTTATTCAGTCTTTTCGTTCCATTCCTTGTCGTCGCTGCTCAGGTAAACTAACTCAATCGTATTCAATCAATGTGTTCTCAATTCATTGACAACGAACCCGCTTCTTACAAGTTTTTCTTTTGAATACTCAGCTTGCCCTTGTATTAGCTGGTGATGATCCACAAAATGGCGTAGCTATAGTTCCAGGTGCCTTTGGTGTATGGTCCGTTTGCAGCAATTCACCAACAAAAAATATAAGTATGTTTACAAATTGCAAACTTTAAAGTTTGATCAGTTAACCTGCATTTCTCGTACTCATTACATTCTCATATACCTACGTTTCATAGGCTATGCATTAGTAGTTATCGATAATCCTCCTGCAGGCTTAACACCAAAGCCTGGTTTTGGTAACACGGTCAAGGGCGCGAACCCCGAGCCCAAAACGTCTGCACAATACAGTAACGTTGTTTTGACTTTCCAAATGACTCAGAAGGATCTTAATACTCTTCTCGGTAATGATCAAAAGCCCAATTATCAAATCGTACCATCGTTATCATGTCAGCCCAATCCGGTTAAAAAGTGCAATCGTGATACTGGTTCAAATTTGTTGAACACCCAAGTGATCCAGTGCCTCGCCGTTATCAATCCCACTCTCAATGACGTGTACATGAATTTGAGCATATCCTTCACTACAAGTGTGTTTGGTCCAAAGGCATTTACCAGTCCCGATGTTAATTCTACTACAACCACGACGCCAAGCAGTTCTAATGGCACCTCTCTTCCGCCCGATTCTTCGAACACAACAACGACGCCCACGCCCAGTAATCCCCAGAGTAATGATGCGATGGGAGTAGAGCTACAAGGCTGGGGTGTTGTTATTGCGGTCATAATTGGATTGATCGGATTGGTTGGCGGGATTTAGAAGTAAACGTTTTTTACATCCGTATATGGGTAAGAAGGTTTAATAATTTTAGACCAATTGTAGAACAGGATTCTATATAGCGAGTCTAAGAAAGGAATTTTTCAATATAAAATTCTTGTTTCTATCTTGTTTCTGTGTTTATAATCGGGAAGTATCGTCCCCGTAAATAATGTAATTTTTCTATTGTATATTTATTATGTACTTACCCGAATAAACAAACTAGTATCACTACTATCGCTATAATACTTGTGTGACATTCGATCGGAGCTGACGCATAGAACGCAAAACAGTAAAATGCACATATCATTTTGCATCATATTTTATCAATAATTTGTTTAAACAACTGCAGTTTATTTTGCCTTTGCATTTAATTTGGTCGTCATTGAACGATGAGTCTTAACCGTCTACTTAAGTGGACGGTATTCGGATTCAATGAGCATAACTTATTCTTTGGTCAATCCTGTATTTCTTGTTCTTGTCAATTCACTATTCGATAATTTTTGATGTACTCTTCCTCAAGTTTCGAAGTGGAGGCATCGGTGTCCTTTCCTTTGTGCAATTCGCAGACCGATTAATTATGCTAGTAGACAGTTTGGGACATTGATGCTGCTGCTCATTATAGGTATTATTATAATTAATTCGGCTTTCCCATAGTCTGCTGATTGGTGATCTGCTAGCGCAATTGCGCATTTCGGGTGGGGAGAGTATTAATTTGCAGACCAATGTTTATGTCTTTTTTTATGTAGCTGGGACGCTTATAATTACATCGAAGAACTATAAATACCAGTATGGTTGCGGGTAATCTTTGGTAGGGCTATTTAAGTTTCGGCTGCTCGAAAAAAGCTATAATTATTATTGCTAAGCCAATCATCAACAAGAGATTAAACTTCATTAATAGACTCATTTTCACTAACACTTTTTAAGAAAATAATTAACTTGTTGCATAAAAAATTTATGGATAACACACAAGTTAACAATAATATTGGATACAGATATTGTGTACATGCTTCTAATTACAAGTAATTAATTTGTCTGCGGGGTAGTAGGTAATTTATGTTTGTATTTGAAACAATTGATTAACAGATTATACTCTAATTTCTCTCGAGGCGCGTTACGTAATTCACAACGGTTAGGTAATCTCTTTCAGCAAGCGTTCATCAAACGTACGCTATCTGCGCTTGGGTCTGCGCTACTTCACGTGGCATTACCAGAAGCGGCTCGTATTCTCAGCTTCGAGAATGATTTTAAGAAATTGCAAAGTGACTGACAGTTATTTCATTGCCTTCAGTTGGGCCATCAAAATATATCTTGTTCAGATCTGGAGAGAGCTTGAAACATCTCGCGTAATTCGGCAAACTTTTCTCTCGAGTCTTTTTCAAACAATCATTATAATTTTCCATATACGGATATTCCTATATATAAGTTTTATCGTTACTATTCGTAATGGTTTTGTTTATTTTACTGAATTTTTTTGGTCATATACGTGTATTGATACTATTTACGATAAGCTCTTTTCAAAAGCGAAAAAAAAATGGAAAATATTCTTATATTGCACTCATGTATGTATCGCCCACACGGAAGCAAACTTTTACTTTTACTTACGTATTTTATTGTTATCTCTACTGTAATGTGTCTTCATTCGAGATGACAATTTATACGAAACAGCATTGTAGCTTTCCTTATTATTATCGAGAAACAGCGTTTCTTACTTTATTTATTTGTATTTATTAGTAAGGAATCCAGGATATTGGAATTATGAAAACAGGAATGGCCCAAATGACAGTATTGTACAATACAAGATTCAGCATATTTTTGCTGACACTCAACAACAAGACAGTGATTAGAAAAAAAATCGCGCGCGTCGTCAGATTGTTTCAAAGTTGCTATTACATATGGCCAATACACAATAGACTTTGCTTGGTATCATAGTAAACAACATTAAAGTTCGCATATGAGTACAGATTAACATCCTCCACGCGTCCAAAGATGGTATCCCCTACTTGCGGGCTAATAGGATGTCTAAACTGTTATGCTCACTTTCTCAGAGATGAACCAATATTTGCGCCTTAATCATTCAATTTATAATAAAACTTATTTTAAAAAAATTAATAACTAACCTGGGCAAGAATCTTGATTCCTTTTTCTCTTCTTTTTCCCTTTTGTTTTTTCATTTTTCCTTCCTTTTTCTCTTTTTAGGCAGTCTTAAAGCATAGCGCGTTTGTAAGCTTGTTTTGGATTAACGTACTTTGAGAATATATATTTAGTGAAGAATTAATAGCATTCTGCACTATTGTTCTCGATTCTTCTTTTGAAATCCAGGGTTCGTCTTCTATAACCTGGTATACGACAGAAACAGCAGTTATATGTTCCATGGGAGAATTAGGGAGAAAATTGTAGACTTTTTCATAAATTTTGGTAGACATATTAATATTCGATTGATGGTTGAAAAGTGTAAAGAAAATTTAGTAAAACCACTAAAGTGACGGGTAATAATAAATCGCTATACTGCCTTTCAAAACGTCCCCCATTTCTACCGCATTTGGGTATGGGAATAGTAGGCTCGGAGAGACATTGCCATGCAATAGATCTAGGGAATGTGAAACTGGAGCGATGCAATGCACAACGAAAAAAAAAACTTTTCACAAAGAAAATACGTATGTCATGAGTTGGACAATCGGATTTGATTTATTCTGTGGTATAGTATGTGATGTGTTGATAAAACATCTGTTGTGTTACGCAACCGATTTCAGGTCACACGATTACATCATGAAAAGTTCCATGACTGGATGTTGCAGCTTAGACTCTCGGATAGTTGTCTCCTGCACGCCTGCACGGCCATGTGAGAATTTGGGATTGCGCTTACAAGAAAAGTTTGGACGAGATTGAAAGTCGGTACGGGCGTACGGACGGAAGGGCCGAAAAGCGTGTCGATTAACGAGCTCTTTAAAACCGCCTCACGTTAGCAGTGCTACTTGGATTTTTGCCAGGTCGATACTACAAGATGCTTACGCACCGCCCTGGGTTTCTTCTTGCCGGGCAATTATAGTAACAGTGCATGCTTATCCATCACATATGCACTATAACTCATAATATGTATTGATCAATTATTGCTTGAATTGGAAACAAAAAAATGGAAGAAGCATGGCCGATGAGATGGAGACGAATTGAAAGCACGATTGAAAGCTTCGTCTTGCCAGAGCTCGAACGTTATCATCACGTATTTTTGCAGGAACGATTAGCATCAACTCCAAATGATCTACCTCGGCGAAGTAAACGTGCATGACTTACCGTATTGCTTTGACTAAAGTACCCCGGGTATTTTTATTTTACTGTTTTTGTATAGTACCCGGGGTACTTCATCAGGGGGTACTTTGATGGGAGGAGGGTATATGTATATCTGTGTAAAGTACCCCCCTATTACTATCAAAAATTTTGTTTTATATGAGAATATCCGCTTATAATACCCCGGGTATTTTACGCGATAATATTGATTTTTCCGACAATAGTACCCGGGTCTTTTACAAAACCAGGCCTCAAAATTGCTGAGGGGTACTTTGCTCGGGGGGGTACTTTAGTCAAAGAAATACGGTAAATATAAACAGTCACATGCCTTGTGTTATTTTCGGAGCTACGTAGTAATTAATCTTTCTCAACCAAAACGTAATTGTGCATCACTATTGGTCAGGTGAGAAACCCCTACGTGATTACAGCCATCGATAAAAAAAGCTCTCTGCTTTCTTTATCCTACTTCGCTTTATTGTCTTTCAACTTCTATTTTTTTTGCTTCTTTCTGTGCTGCAATTAATTGCTTCTCTTTTCCCTGGCTGGCAAATTGATTATTATTCTCTTTGTTCTCAATCTATTACCATGGCTTCCACTCAAGGTTTGTTGGATTTGTCAGTTTTCGATCTGATCAACGGTGCTAATGACTTGTTTTATTATTTCAAGACACTCGGGAGGAGATTGTAGTAGAAGATACAACGGGTAATACGAAAACAACGAATAATACGGGTACGAAAACACCTGGTTTGGCTTCAGCAAATAACTATTATTATTAGTTTAATAGTATATTAATATTGACTTTTTATACTACTTTAAAAGACGCCCCAAAAGAAGAACCGGTTCTATCAAAAAGGCTACAAAAGGTTTTTAAGCGTCTGGGCTCGGAACACCGAGAACTCTATGACGTATTACCCTCTCCCCAAACAAAAATTGGCTTTTTAGAAATCATTTATCGAGAAAGGAGAAAAGGGGTATGTGACTATATGTTTAGTATTAGACGATTACGTCTCCAGAATTTTTGCTAACACAGTATTAGATGCGTCGGTATTTGCCTTTCTAAATATGTAGGACTTCGGTCTCACTATTATCACTGGGTTAACCACGCTACCATTGGTAATAATAAATATTATCATCTTTGTAGTTCAAATAATAGTCAATTTGATGAAGTCACGTGAATTATTCAAACAAAAAATTTTCAATATAATATTAATATGTATTTGCTCACCTTTAATTATAAGTATGTTATTAGCAACCCTGTTGGGGAAATATTTAGCCATTTATGTCACGAAACAGAATGTTCACTTTGTCTGGCTTTGTTGCAATCTGCCCAATTGAGGATTAGTTCAATAAACTGATACTATTACGAATAAATTAAATAGCCAATTAACATACCAGTTTATAGAGTTATGCAACAAAGATAATATTAACGTTGCGTTGTTATCATGAGCAAACGTGTTCGATGCAAGTTAATGCGTTTTTTTCATTTAGCTAAATCCGGCTTTACCCTTCAAAGTCTTTTATATTTAAGTATGCTATATGTTTCTGGCTTGTTCTTAGACTGCCAGTTATGACTAGCATATATTTGTTTTCATACATAATCGCAATAAATAACGTATTACTTGTCATAAGTGCCTACGTAGAAGATTTATTTGACAAAACATCACATAACTTTGGCAACAAAACAACTTGCTACAAACTGATATGTGTATTAATTTAATGCTTAACCAGCACTACAAATTTCATAACTTAAAACAATGCATATATATGTTATTTATTAATTTTATGCAGGTATGTTACCTACGCTTATATTCCTATATCTTATTAAGTTTCATGTATAAAAATTACGTGTTGTCATAAGTACAGTCTTATTTTTCATATGTTTTTGCACTTGGCGAAAAAAAAAATAATTCTTTTTATAAATAAAATAAAAATGAGTTTTCATTAATAAAGTTGTCGTCTATTGCCAGCGTGGATTTACATTGTTGTCCGCCGTAAATTCACTGCCAGCATAAGGCCCTGTATTATAAATAAATTGATTGTCTGCGCCAGCATAAGGGTAAAAATATTGGTCTCCCGTAATTTCACTGCCGGCGTAAGAACCTACATCGTAAAATGATTGGCACTCAATGAATTCTCCGGCGTAATAGTAAGGGCCTATGCTGTAATATAGTTGGCTTTCCGTAGTTTCGGCGTTGGCATAAGGATCTATAATTGCATTATACATGGTATCTGGAACTTCCGTATTAAACGGACATGAACAATGACAAATATATATTGTTTTTGGCGGTAGTGACTCATTGTTCGAATAAGCCAACGCCTCTTGCGAATCGACAATAGAAGATGGAGATGGAGGCGTGTTGGCCACAGGAAAAGTAGGCTGTATTTCTGCAAAATTGGAAAAATTGGCGGTTTGTGAGTAAAAACAAACAACATAAACAATAACAACGTATGTTGTAGAACTACGCTTACCGCTCTGTTCAGCAGTCGAAAGTGCAGCCATATATCGACTCATTATTTGTGCAAGCAAGAGAAAAAATGTCCTAACGTCTTTTCCTTCTAACATCCATTTGGCTGAGGCACCTTTGGTAATTTTTTTAAAAGACGGCTTTTTGTTTGCTGGGAAACTTGCTGCATAGTTTCTGCGATAGATCAAAAACCGATTTAACGGTTTGTGTTTGTTGGTACGTTTCACCGGAGGTACTTTTAGCAACTCCTCGATCGGCAGCGACAATGTGAGCGGTGGATTGGCGAGCTGCTCGAGTTCAGTCTCGTTAAGGTTATTGTCAATAAATGCACGGATCGTAATAGTAGACATTGCGAATAATTTAATATTAGTCTGGATTGAAATTCTGATGGGGACGGGGAGGTTTATATAACGTTTACATCTTGACTCTGTGTATACGCTTTCCTATATAATCGTTTGCATATATGCTGTACGTTATAAAGTCGCGACATAAAATGATAATATAAAATCATTTACAAATTAGTCTTTTCCATTATGGTATATGAAACCAATTAAATTTAACAAATATTTATAAGATAAAAAATCCCATTGAGCGTAATGGCCTTGCGCGCCACAATATTGTCACTTGTTAATTAACTTTTTATTGTTCTGTATGCCATAACCATTAAATAGTATAACTTGCAATGGACTTTCAATTTATTTTAATGGGATAAAAGTCAAACACGGGGTGGCGTGAGTCATAATAATGCATTGTAAATCGGCCACAGTTCCCTAAAATACCAGAAAGAATTTAGAACTGTGGCTCAACTCGCAAACTGTCATCACATGGGAGAGATAATTCTGTTGTATTAATATTGTAAAGGCACTTCGGTGTTACTGTAATGGTGCCATACGCGTCAATGATCTGCACACTGCCGAACAAACAATCAGATCTTTAGGGATAACCCTCATTCCATTAAACAGATAACAATCTTATTCGGAGTAAACGCCACTTTACCGTCTTATAATTAGATTGATACGATATATTCATGTTATTGGCCAACAGTTGAATGGGCAAATCCATTTAACGTCATAATCGGTCGACCGTATCAGGATATGTGAGAGAGATGAAGACCGAAATAGATACGTTTTATCTTTTACAACTGCACTAATTATAATTTGAGCGTTTGTCCAACAGAGTAACATTCTGAACCTTTTGTTTCTCAGAGAAGAATATGTCTCGCGTGAATGTATAATAATAAAGCGCAAATCGGCAATTCAGTAGCTTCAA